TGCCTAATGGCTCTAAGAAAACACAACAAGGTACAACCTTAACGGTTCCTGGACATGAAGATACAAACGCCTAACAGAAGAATCTAGAAGGAAACGAAAGGCTAACAAAGACGTCAGTCCACCCACCCTATAGGACCGAAACCACAACTAGTCGCGCCGGAAAAGAGCCCTGGAAAAATGAGCTTGAAAACGAATAACTCAAGCACTAGATAAAAGGAGCAGGTTCGCAGTGGAGAAAAGTTTGAAATCTTTACTCAACCCCCCCCCCCAAAAAAAAAAAACAATAATAAAAACGAATCTTTGATTCCCAGGTTAGATTTTTAAAGAAAATAAGCGTATATAATGATAGAAATCTTTTGGTCTTTAGTGATAGGTAGTGCGATTAAGTATTCATTAGCTTAAAAGTGAAGGGGGAAGGTCCGATGATAGCCATTTAAGGTCGATTATATACAGAGTGTATCAACTTCTATAGTTCATTCATTTAATTCGGAAACCATTACGGTGGGAACAGATTTAACATAACTTTCTCGTCTAGCTGGGAAATGACACTAACTTTGTTATTTTAAATAAAAAAATCATATTTTTATTGTATAATTTGATTTTCGGGTTCATTTAATAACCTTTCTAATGAAGTTTGCATTTCTCTAGCATCACTGGGCCGATTTTTTACCGTTTTTGACAACTCGACCCAAAAGTGTTCGATAGGGTCTTCGACGGGACTACATACTGGCCATTCCAAACATTGAATAGAAACACGATCCAAGTAGTCACAGACGATCTAGCTGTGTGGGGCCTTGTATTGAAATGTAAAAAATGAAACCGTCGCCAATTAGTGGCATATAAGAAACAACTTCTGACACATCTTCAATGTATAGCGCAGCTGTTAGGAAACCCTCAATGAAGACCAAGTTAGTGGGAACTTCCATAGAAATGACTGCCCAAAGCCATAACACCACCACCTCCATAGCTTCAAGAGGAACGCATGAAAGACGAAAACATCCACTGAAGATAGCGAAATCCGAAACGGATCAAACACCTGACCACAACAGCGAGGATAGGTATATCAAAATGATCGGAAATAACTAACTGCTCATACACACCAGCTTAAAAATTCTTGCATGACACACAGCAAAAAAGAACGAAAAACAAAATACTGGAAACACACAAAAAAATTCAACAACCTACACTCACCATTTACAGTGTACCTCTGATATACACCATTAAAACATTATACAAATTCACTAATTTCGTGGTCCGCTTGACCATTTAAATCATTACAATTAATTAAGGCTCTTAGTTGAGATGAAAAAAAGCACGAGCGGGATTCGAACCCACGATCTTCGGCTAGATACGCCGCTGCTCTACCACTTGAGCTGTCGTGACCTCGATCCACTCGGACATCAACTTCCTATCTCAACCTCACCTTATGAGTTTCCCTCCTTTTTGCCATTTTTCAATTATACAAATTTTTAAAAAAAGTACCAAAACAACATGGACATGCAGATAAAAATAAGCTGACCCGACTAAGTTGCTCATTTATTATCCTGGAGATTTTAAGAAATCCCACAATTTAAAAAGCAAAAGCATCACTAGGTGTTAAACGGTAAAGAGAATCAAGGCTTCTCTGAAAGAAAACAGTTTTCAACATCCACACTCCACACAAATAATATGATGAAATGCGGTGTTGTCTCCGTGAGTGGGCAGAGGAATGCTGCTTATTAGATAAGCTTGTCTGTTGTACATGCGGAAAGGGTGAAGAACGGGCGAGGGACGAAGGAGTAGGCGAAGGAGTGAGAGGTAACGACACGAGATATTAATGGGTGCACGGCTCATTGAGTCCAAGTTCCTCGCACCACTTCTCTCTTTCTACAGCTAACCCATCAAAATCCCATTACTGATTCACTTAAGATACCCCTCACTTACCGAACCCTTCTACTCATAGACTTACTATCCCTCTCACCAATTCCCCTCTCAGGATTCCGTTTTTCTTTGTTAAAAGAGTAGGAAAAAAGCTGGAAAGCCCATCTATCAAATTTTGCGTAATAGTCTTTAGCCCGATGGCAGGTTGTTAGAGAAAACTCCTTATTTCACACCACAATTCTTTACCTACATATTGACAGTTGGTTGATGCTTAAGAGTGCGTAAAAGGAAAACCTTACTTATTGTTAGACGTTTTGATGCTTGTTTAGCACTGCCAACAGTTTGTGGCATTAAAATATGATTCAAAAGATCAGGGCGCCCTCTCTCCCGCTAATAAACGTGGATTTTTTATGTAACTTATTTTCATGAATCGCTAATCGTATAAAATTAGTATTTGATTATATTTAAAATGTGATTCTTTGCCTACGTTTTTATATTGTGTATAACGTGCAGTATTCTAAAGCTGTCACTCGTTTTTAATGCATTATTTCGTATTTATGCATACAATGCAATATTCCCATACTACCGGAAACTATATACAGGGTGAATCAATTTCTGTAGTCCACCCATTTAATTCGGAAGCGATTAACTTTAGCAAAAAATGGTCTTATACAAACCCAAAGTTAATTTTGGTAAGGAATCGTGTGGTAGTAACAGATTTAATATAACTTTCTCATCTCCTGGGAAATGGCAACAACTTTGTTATTTTAAATGAGAATCCCATATTTTTATTGTAGTGCTTATTTTATATGTTTTGATTGGATCGACCATTTCTGAGTTATGACCGACGGAAAACGCGCGAGGAGAGTGTTTTTTGTAATAAAATTAAGAGAAAATTAACCTGTTTGGCATAAATCTTTTGCTAAACTTAATCGTTTTCGAAATAAACGGGTAGGGCCATCTTGTTGTTAAAAACAGTAAAAAGTCGCCCAGTGATGGTAGAGAAATGCAGAATTCATTTGAAAGGTTATTAAATGAAGAAATTTTTGTGTGATTCGGCAGTCTCTAAGATTATTACTGAGACAGGAGCAAATGTTTGAGTTCCTCAAAAAATTCCGGATTTTTGATAAATTTTGCATTTTCTTTGTTATAAATGACATTTAATGTGAAGTTTTTTCGGAGGATCTACGGAAGAGGTCAACACAGAGAACAACTTCCTTTCGGTTTTCGCCGAGCTTTCGACAGTTTTTTATACTGTCATCTTCAGGGCCTGTTTTATTATCATATAAAAAAACAACAATTAAAACATGAAAAACAAATTGCACAAAAATTGAAATATCTTACTTAAACCTTAATGGGGAAATAAAAAGACATGGTGTTTTGGGTACAGCAGTACATTTCGTTTTTTTGGGGGCTCAGCATCTAAACATTAATAATTTTTTTTCCATTTCTTGGGATCTTTTTTTGGGATCCTTTTCGGTCTATGCAGGCATCCTAAACGAATAAAATAAAAAAATAAAAATAAAAAACTAAGCAAAGGAGGGAAATGAGAACGTCGCCCTAGTGGCGGAATCTGTTAACCAGGGGAAAACATACGAGTTTATCCGGTAGCCTTTGTTCCTCTCTTCGAAGAGGGTTTGTTATTTGTTTTTGATCTGTGATCTTATTGTATACTAATTTAAATGTAAGATAAGTTAATTGTATATATATGTATATATATATATATANTATAAGAAGTATACGCACTGTGTGCATATGTATATGCACTGTGATCGCATGTACCTGAAAACAAAGAAAGGAAGATTTTACTAGTTTTTTAGACTTTTATGAGGTAACCTTTTCTCGACCACGTTTTTTAATTTTTAATTTTTATTGTACTTATAGTGGTAATTTTTAATTCTTAATTTATTCAATTTAAATAATGCTTAGATGCTGAGCCCCAAAAAAAAACGTAATGTACTTCTTTGCCCAAAACAATGTCTTTTTATTTCCCCATTAAGGTTTAAGCAAGATATTTCAATTTTTGTGCAATTTGTTTTTCAGGTTTTTAATTGTTGTTTTTTTATATGATAATAAAACAGGCCCTGAAGATGACAGTATGAAAAACTGTCGAAAGCTCGGCTAAAACCGAAAGGAAGCTTTTCTCTGTGTTGACCTCTTCCGTAGATCCTGCGAAAAAACTTCATGTTTCCAGCAGGTCGATAATCTAGCTCATCGTTACATTTAATGTGTTAATGGTGTCGCAAAGAAATTAAAATGGTGTAGTCCTATACGAAATTTATCCAACATTCCGGAAGAGGATTCAAAACTGCAGATAAATTAAGGAAAAGTTAGGAAAACCCGATTTAACGGCTTAAGGTGCGATTTTTTTTAATGAAGCACAAGAACGATCATAACTCCGTAGTGAACAGAGGTAGGACACCCACTCTTGCGGCATTCTACTTCATTTTCGATAAAGTTTTACCCAAAAAATTTTTCACATTGATCCGAATCCACCCTCCACCCGGTATAACTCATATGTACATACAGTATCATATATATTCATTTTATCTTATTGATTAATTTTTAAAAATAAAAAGCAAACAACTATTAAGAAGTCATGATTAGTTTATTCCGAAATCAAAAATTTATAATAATTAAAACTGAAAAAAAAGACGTCCTGATGTATATAAGTTATAAACGAGTATAACTATTTTATTAAACAAATAAGGAGATGACAATGCTAGGATGCAGGTGTTGCTCCTACAACTGTCTTCAGCACTCTCTCCCACTCCAGAGGTTTTATAAGGATTTTTATTAACCAACAAGGTAGTCTTAAGTTAGATTTTCCCGAAAGCATATCGGAGAAATTTGATTTAGATTAGTAAACTTAAAGAAACTGAATGTACATCAGTACTATTTTGTAATTTCTTGAATAAAAGTTTTTTAAAAACGGCAAAAGAAATTATGTAACTTATATATATCCNTAAAGAAATTAATTAATTAAAAATCCTTGTAATATATATTTTTTAAAGGAATAAACTGATAAAAAATCCTTGTAATGTTTAAGGTGGTAGGAGCTCACTTATTCTCGTAGGGCAATATTGTTTTTGAACATTAAAAAAAATGAATGAGATAATTTATTTGAAAATCAATCTATACTGAATGTAGGAACACAATAATGTTCTTAATTATCCTTTCTTCCTCTTTTGGTTCTCCAGAGCAAATTCTATAATTGCGCAGTGCCACTGTTTTCCTCGGGATTTTCCGTACGATTTCAACTTCCAAAAACCATGAATGAAAGCGAGAGTTTGCACGCTAGTCAGATCAAGTTCCGCTCCATTTAACGAGTAAGTACCCTAAAAAAGGCCAAGTTGGAAAATTTGGATTACTTATTAAAAAGCACATGATTTACCTGTTTTATTGGGCAGTTTGGCGGTATAGCTATTCCTTCAAAAAAGCTCGTCCACGGCATGCCTTCCCGTCCAAAAATTTTACACATATCCTCATTTTTGAAGTCAACCTGGTGGTGGCAGTGCTGTCTCTCTTTGTCCGAGCATTTGTACATCTCTACAATGATCTGGACAAATTATGCTAATAACGAAGAAACTAGAATTATGGTGTTTGATACTTACAGAGGCCGGTTCTACGACCGGTATCCCGACTGTGATGGTTCCATTTATCCGAAATTTGTTTTTACCCGATGGCTTTATTTCCACATTGCTAATTTTGTTCGGTCCGCTTTCTCTCCCGGGGCATTGATAAAACTTTTCTAATAACAATGTACCTCCGAAAACACCCGCCAGCTGCAAAATAAGTGCCAAATAAAAGATGACCATTTCAACAATACACAATAGAAATTTTACTTGTGGAAAGTAACAAACTTGTGCGATTTTTAAAGCACACTCTTTTGGAATTATTCATCGTTAAATTTTCTTTATGTAAAATTTTGAAATAATTTATTAGGCCAATTATAATAACGTAAAGTAGTTATAGACGATTATGTAAAATCATTTTTTCTATATACACAACAAATAAACACTAAAAAAAATCGACTGAACATTTTTATTTCAAATTTTAAAGTGGTTGCAACAATAACATTTACAAGAAGGGGCGGGCGTGTGATCGTAGATTTTAAGGGAAATTTGGTGGGTGAAACTAGACCAAAAATGATTAAATACATGTCAGAGCGTTTTTGCTAATGGCCCCTAGGAGTCAAGTAATAAGTCATTAAGTAATAATGTAAATATATATATTTTAATTCACTAGTTTTCGTGGTCCGCTTGACCAATTGATATATTTCAATTAATTAAGATTTTTAGTTGAGATAAAAAAGTCAATGTCACGAGCGGGATTCGAACCCACGATCTTCGGCTAGATACGCCGCTGCTCTACCACTTGAGCTATCGTGACCTCGATCCACTCGGACACTAACTTCCCAACTCAACCCCACCTTTTGAATTTGCCCTCCTTTTTGCCATTTTTCAAATGTCGTGTAATCTATTTGATTCTCGGCGACAAATGAAATGGTCACGGAGAGCTTTAGTGAAGGTATACTTCATTTTAACTTATTAAATTCTCTAGTTTTCGTGGTCCGCTTGACCAATTGATATATTTCAATTAATTAAGGTTTTTAGTTGAGATAAAAAAGTCAATGTCACGAGCGGGATTCGAACCCACGATCTTTGGCTAGATACGCCGCTGCTCTACCATTTGAGTTACCGTGACCTCGATTCACTCGGACACTAACTCCCCACTATGTTTTTAATGTGGATTTCTGTATTGTTTGTGCATGTATTTAAAAGTTATTTTATTTATTACACCAGTCGATTTGATTGGTTGTTACATAAGGTGAGCAAAAGTATAAATCATCATATTAAATGAGATTAAAAATATAAAATGTTACAGAAACGAAAAGACCCTTCTTCCCACGTAAGCATTTTTTTAAACCCATTCAGATTCATTTGAGGCTCCCTTTCAAGCCCTTAATTGCGAATTTTTAGCATACAAAAATAGATATCTTTATGTTGGATTCTCCGGGTAATTTTTTCTCCGATGTCCTGTGTTCCAAATCCTACGTTATTGCAATCGCTGAAAAGTTAAATATACTTACGTTTGTGTGTTTCGGTTGTGTAAACAAAGTTTTAGGAGATTAATAAGGAAAATTAGGATAAAATCAACTCAAACGTTTCATTTTATATCTTCAATTATAATTCAACGTTATATAAAGCTTCTTGTAAATCGGAGGAGTCGTTTCAAAACACAAAATTTATGTTTTGTTTTTCGAAAAACTGAGCCTTAAAAGGCAAACTTTAGCAAAAAAATCTATGTGATATTCTCGAAAATTTGTATTTAGTGGTTTTTGACAGTGCACAATATCAATTTGTTTCTTACAAAAATAATTATTTTATCCTACTTTGCTAATTTGCTTGGTAACAATGACAAAATTGTAATTACCTAATCACTAAGGATATCTAGATATTAAAATGCATAAACTGTGAACGGGCAACAAAGAAAGTTTTTTAACAAAGAAAAACAGTTTTTCAACAAAGAAACTTTTTTAACGAAACAGTGTTGATATTTGTTTCTCGCACCCCCAAAAATCACTTTTTTTAATTTGTGAGCAATTCAGTTTTTCCCTCAAAATGTTTGCCTTCCAAATTGCCTTCGGATTTATTTATTTTTATTTTTATATACTTTTTTGTAACTGTGCAAGAACACAACCGATTTGGCACATAACCTCCGTAAATAAATTTGAACTGTAAAAATAAAGGTAAAGGTTTGAGCAGTTTTTATTTATTTCCTTCTTATTTATCTAAATTATAATGTCATAAAATCAAACCATTGTTAATATACGTGTAAAAACAGGAAAATTCAAATTCCCTACGGTTGAAATTAGATCAAATCCAGAGGCGTTATCAATTTTGACGTCCGAGACGCTGGACATACGGGAGAAAGAAAATTGCTTTTGGGTAATCAAGCCCAAAAATGGTTATTTTTTATTGCGATAAAAATTCATATTTAGAGGCGGTAAAAGGCGGTTAAAAGGAATCTGATTTTTTTTAGTACATTATTAGAAGCACTGTATGGTTTCTTTCACGTTTTTATTCACTCTCATTTAATATGATCCTTCTTATTATTTTCTTACATTATAACCAGGAAATTTAACTCAACAAAGCCAGAAACACATATTTAAGAAAATTACATCATTTGTCCCAAATATTTTTTTCTAGGCTCTTAGGGTTTTTGAACATTCGGTCGATATTTTTTCACTTCGTATCACCAAGATAAGCTTCATTAAAATCTGTGTTCCCACGTTTATAGCCTCCCCTTATGAATAAAATAATATTAATTATTTTTTAATTAAGTTTTTTTTAGTAAGTCCTCAAACCACATGGCTCTCGCTAATACCCACATAACCGTATCCGATTCCGTTTAAATTATAAAATGTCGAAAATATTTTCACACAAAAGTTCATTAATTATTGTTATATGATATTGTTGAAAATTATCGCTCATCGATTTTATTAATGACACTTGTTAAAAAAAAATCGTTTGAACTTTTCAATTACTTTTTATTTATATTGTTTTAATTTCAGTTATAAAAGATAATTGGAATTGTATTACAAAGCAGATTTTGACACTTTGCTGTTGTGTGATATTAGGCTTTACAACCTTTAATCAGTTTTAATTGATCATTAATGTTTACTATGACCTACACATCCTAGAATAATTAAAAAATATCAAACAACTAGAAAATAATACAGTTATATAAAAGGTTATTTTTATGTTTTATTATGTTTTTTATTAATTTAGGCTTTTTCTTTAAGTACCTGAGTGGTGAAAATTCCGATGGAATGAAACAGCACTAGTGAGAAAAGTAAAACAGTCAAATCGCTCGGCATACTTCCACTGATGTTTTTAGGACGAATGTCGTCCGGTAGAAGATTCCATCGTAACAATAGCTCAAATTGTCATTACAAGCGTATCGCCAACAATAATGTCGGCAAATCAGTGTGAAAGGCATCAATTCCTGAATGGTGAATTTGCTTTTTTTTATCCGTTTTCCTCTTTGTTCAAACACTGACACCGGCGATTCACGGTTTAAATGATGAATGTGGGACTTGCCATTTCTCTCTTACTTTTGCGGAGTACAGTGTGACCCGGGAATATTGGATTTTCCGGGGTGGCGCACCGTCGGGTGCCTTATCACCTTTTTGTTAACAAACCATTACAAACACCTTCCGTTTCCAGAATTAATTTCCACTCCTTAAGCAAAGGCATTTCTTACTCTGCCTTCAAGATAAATGTTCAGCGTTAGAAACAGGAAAAACGGTAAATTGATAGTGCAACGCAACAATGTACTATTAAAAACCATCAGAACTAATGTAACGTTATTTTTTACCTATTGTTATAAAATTAAAATCAATATTTTATTGCATTCTTCAACAACTTACACCGTGTATTTAAGTATGGGTACGGATATTGTTCGAAACAAAGTAATATATTGTTAATACAATCGAAAAGAAACGATAAGAACTAATTGCATATGTGTTTTCAACTATATGTCAAAAATAAATGTATTCCATAAGGCTTATTTTAATTCTTCTCATCTAATATGATAGGCCACAAATAAATAAATAACTTGTTCAAATACAATATATCAAATATAATTCACAAGGCACAGCAAATATTGCCTTCTTTACAATTCTTGATAACAGGTACAATTTTCATTTATCCTACACTTATAAATAAGAAGCAATCAAATAATGATAGAATATTATGAATATTATCTCTGATACAACTTGGTACTGAATGTCTAAATTTAATATTATTTAGAATTCACTAGTTTTCGTGGTCCGCTTGACGTATTAATATCTTTCAATAAATTAAGGTTTATAGTTGAGATAAAAAGTCAGTGTCACGAGCGGGATTCGAACCCACGATCTTCGGCTAGATACGCCGCTGCTATACCAATTGAGCTATCGTGACCTCGACCCACTCAGCCAGTAACTTCCCATCTCAACCCCACCTTTTGAATTTCCCCACCTTTTTGCCATTTTTCAGTTTTATCTCAACTAAAAATCTTAATTAATTGAAAGATATTAATGGGTAAAGCGGATCACGAAAACTAGTGAATTTAATAAGTTAATTGAAATATACCTTCACTAAAGCTCTCCGTGGCCATTTCATTTGTTGCCGAGAATCCAAACCGACTACACGACATTTGAAAAATGGCAAAAAGGAGGAAAAATTCGAAAGGTGGGAAGTTAGTGTCCGAATGGATCGAAGACACGATTGCTAAAGTGGTAGAGCAGCGGCGTATCTAGCCAAAGATCGTGGGTTCGAATCCCGCTCGTGACACTGACTTTTTTATTCCAACTAAAACCTTGAGAGGTACTTAATTAACGTAAAAACCTTAATTAATTGAAATATATCAATTGGTCAAGCGGACCACGACAACTAGTGAATTTAATAAGTTAAAATGAAGTATACCTTCACTAAAGCTCTCCGTGGCCATTTCATTTGTCGCCGAGAATCAAATAGATTACACATTTGAAAAATGGCAAAAAAGTGGGAAAATTCAAAAGGTGGGGTTGAGATGGGAAGTTAGTGTCCGAACGGATGGAAGTCACTATAACACAAGTGGTAGAGCAGCGGCGTATTTAGCCGAAGGTCGTGGGTTCAAATCCCGCTCGTGACACTTACTTTTTATCTCAACCTAAACCTTCATTAATTATTTAGAATATTAAAGCTAAGGATGTAAGGATAATCTAAATTATTTCTTAAAAGGTCAAATAAACTAATAAATTATCCTAGAGAGAGCCGTTCAGGACACGTTTTTGAACAGAGTACACGGCTCTCGAGTCTCGACCTTTATAAAGCGTAGGACTCCCACGTGCAAATATGCAATACTACAAAAATATCAAGATATCCTCCTCAGAGGTAATTTACCACGAATTCTTCAGGCTGTAGAATCGTAAATTCCGGTCAAATTGTCGGGGAATCACGTTTAAGAGAATCCCAGGGCTCGGTGATGAGAGTAGCACTATTTTTGTTTGCGGTGAACGGAAATCTTTCATAACTTGAACTTTAGAAGTATCAACCACTTTTTCACTCTGAATCAAGTTATGGTCTGGAAGAAGAAAGCAAATTTAGTTGCTACTGCCAAGTTTTCGACCTATTTTAAGGTCATCATCAGAGCTTATATTATTATGAAACACATATTTGCACAATTGATTTAACAATCCATATACCTATATAAAACTTTCAAAACAATCTTAAATATGTCTACAGATTGGCATACTTAAGTTTTCCAAATTTTCTTTAAGTCCGACTCAGTCCCAACATTGCCAAGTACTGAACAATATTGCAACCTTATCCCGGAGGTCCTCCTCTCGTTATCATAGACCACTTTTAAAATTAATGAGACCTTCGTAAATTTAACATAAGCCCATAGTATCTCTTCGAATATTAGAAATATTATTTTCTAATATATAATCTAATTTATAATCCAATTTAGGATGTATTTGTAACATTCAAACAGATACTACGGGCTACAGTTCAATTTATGAAGGTCTTATTAATTTAGTAGTATTAGTGTAGTAGTATTATTAATTAATTAATTAATTTCCCTAGACGCACTGGCCTGCGCCTTGATATGTATTAAAATATCAAATAAAACGTTGTAAATTACAATTGTTCTGGTTTTCAAAGCTTAAAGATTAAAGAAACTATTTTTCTATAAATTAATACAATTCTGAGTATCGAGTTGAAAAACCCTTTATCCCTTATATTTTGTGGTAAGGTTTTAATAAGAGAAGAACAGTTATTTTAAATGAACAATATACACGGATAAAAAAAGATATGTAATAATGAAGGATATAATACAACAATATGCTTATAAACGTAATGGTCAAAAAAGAGTCTCCAAATTCAAAGGTGAGAGGATTAAACGTTCATATCCTCTATGGATAAGGTATGATTTATCAGTCAGATAACTACTGTAATCTCTTATAACCCCTTTGGTTAGATGAGCGCTCAGTCACCTCTAATCTTGTATAAAGTAAAGTAAATAATTCCAGTCGTACAGGAGGGCTTAACGTCCAATTACCCCGTTAGGTTTCGAGGACGAGGGATGAAACCACTTTAAAACACTTTTTACATATTATACACCAGTGAAATTCCATGGGCCAAGCCAGATTCGAACCGCTAGCCTAACAAAATCATTCGGACACCCTAATCACTCGTACACTGCGATTTTTTTGTTTTAACATTTATATATACCTTCAATCATATAGAACTATTCAACTTATGATCATTTATAGATAAACATATTTTTTAATATGGTTGAGATTGTAAAATGGATAAAACGGTTCTTTACTGAAATCGTTCGGTAAGCAGAACAATAGAATTCTAGTATTTATAAACTCACAAAGCCAATAATATGAACCGACCGATTGTAATGACCCGGTTTCACGTTTCATTTCAGATGTAATGAACCATTTACTTCCTTATCACGTCTCCATCTAAGCCTTCCGTTGTTCAATTTCCTTATGGAAACAATTGGATGATATTATCGGCAATTTGATCAAAAAATTCGTCGAAATGGTGTCATATGTCCGTAATGCAACAAATCTGAATAAACAAAAGCTTAAAAACACGTCTATCTAGCACGTTTTTCCTTCATTCAGAACTGGCTTGGCAATACTGGTTAATTAGTTTGCCGGTTGGTCGTTCCTTATTCTTTTGGTCTGCAGCAATTCTAGGTTGCTATCGGTCTGTGATCGATGCAGTGAATATCTTATTCCGACCTATACAAACTGCGTAAAATGTAGATGATTGTTATGATGGATAGTTGAAATGAGAGAAGGCTTGTGGTAGTGCATTGGTGAGGAAGAAAAGCTTAAAATGGAAGTTGTGGAATCGTATTCGGATCAGGTCCGTAGTCTGTGCCGTAGAAGGGAGCGTTGTGAATACTACGGAGGCCTTTTGATTGAAAGGATTGGATTCTTTTGATGTTGAAACGTATGGCTGTGCCCCACAGCTCGACTCCGAAATCCGTATCGGTCTGGGTTGTTATTTTGTACATTGCAGTTTGTCTTATACACTTTGTCTTATGTCTTACAGTGCGGATTTAGGGACAGTATCTTGAAGTCTGAGTTGTCAGTGTCTTGGATGAATTCTTTATAATTTAAGGTCTGGGTTCCAAGTATGCTTGCTTTTCAAGTACAACTGAAGGTAGCCAGATTTGTTTGGATGGTGGGGCGTTGTTTTTTGTTGTTGTCAGCTTAATACGCCAACTAGTGAAATAGTCTTTATCTAGTGACTTGGGTTGCTTCTACTGCTAGGATAGGGTCAGCCTGTGAGGAGAGCATTGTTCTGTCGTCAGGGAAGGTTATGATTTGAGCGTTAGGGTGTATCTGTCAGCGGTGTAAACAGAGTAGATTGGTCCTAGGACATTCGGAGTTGATGCGCTTGATGTCGAAGTATCGATGAGGTAGTAGGTGTGAGGAAGAATACGTTTTAGTTTGAAAAAGAGATCGGAGTGTCAAACTTTTCAAACGCCTGTTAGCCACTAAAAAGAACTGTTGAGAATATTGTTTTTTTTTAAGGGAAGAGTATATTGTGTCGACTACTGTTAAAAGCTGGTGAATAGAAAAATGGAGAGATCTAAAACCAAAATGTTTGGTGAGGATGGTGTTACAATTATCTTTTTAGACAGGTTTTTAAGAATTTTGGAGTGATGGGATCGTTACCTAGGGACATTTTTACTTGGAGGTGGAAAATTGGGAATTTAAATTCTGAAGACTGGAAGTGTGGGATTCAGATCAATATCCCAACATTCAAACTGTCCAATCCTTAACCTTAGGAAAAAATATAAGATGCTCCATTTTATGTATTGAACCTAACAACAC